GCCCAACTTGCTGCAGCAGTAGCAACAGCAGTGGGGGGAAGAGTACAAGGAACAGTACAAGGAACAGCGGGAGCAACAGCACAAGGAACAGCGGGAGCAACAGCACAAGGAACAGCGGGAGCAACAGCACAAGCAGCAGCTGCGCCAGTAGGCCGCGACAGGGAGACTAATGAGCGACTCATCAAGTCAGCTCTCCAGACTCCCACATTAGGCGCCATTCATCACCCGCGCGGCCCGCGGCACTCCACAACACTCCTTTAACACCTGTCCGTCCTCCAGCATCTTGCACACCTGTACCAGCTACGTCGACGTCGCCACCTGCACGCTCCACACCATACACCGGCGCCTTAACACCACACACCAAAGCAAGTGTTATACCGGCAGAATGTGCACTTACAACCACCGCAGCGGCTGCTTCTTTTAATGCAGGTGGGTGCATACTGCATACCAACATGATCTTTAGCATATATGAGCCCATATATAACACCTGCGAGTGTGGCTGCTTACATAAAACACCTTCAAATGAAACACAACCACAACAGGTGCCTGTACTACCACAACAGCTGCTGTATTACCACAACAGCTGCCTGTACTACCACAATTTGATTTATTGGTAATTTCTCAGACACAAAGGCTCATGGGCTGGATGCAATAGCCTAACCTGCCCTACCCTAACCTAACCTTAACCAAAACCCTTACCTTTCCTAATTATAAGTAATCATAGGCTTAAAATAGGTCATCTTAGGCCTATTGTAGAATATATATATGCTATACTAGGTCTAGTGTAGTATATATAGAGTATACATATGCTATACTAGGCCCAAGAGAGGTTAGGGTTATTGACGTGCTTCAAGGACTCCTTAGAATCCTCGCGTCATGAGTAAGTCAAACTGCATCAGCCCGTCAAGAAGGTTAACAGCTGTAGTTGGGCAGCGGGGGTGCAGGAGCTAGAGCTCGCTTTCATCGCTACAAGAAAGTGTGTGTTGTAGCATCCACTACACATTCTACTTAAGAATGACGAGTTCGACGCTGGACAGCACTGAATAAGTAAATCATTAGAATAATAGTGCTTGACTTAGGTCTAAACCCCACACACACCGCTGTCATCAAGTGCATATAAATGTTATGAGTACTGATGTGAAGGTGAGTGAAGGTGAGTAAGCGAGTGCGTAACCGGTCGTGGGAGGTTGCCAGCGCGCGCGTACGCTCGCTACGCAACGCGCGAGGATGCGCCCGCCAACGCCAGGAAGGGGGGGGGGGGGGCGGGCGCTTGGAAACTGTACGCTAATCACAGCATAGACCGTCACTATGAGCCAATAATTCATTCTAATTAAGGTAATGAGTGAGGTGGATGACGCCCACAGCGCCTGACCGCCGCCAGCACCGTCCTGCTCCACACACCACCCACACCAGTACTCTGCTCTGTGTGTAGTGTGGGACACTTTACTGACTTTACCTTGACGGAGATGAAGCAATCAGGCAGCATCTTAAATGTTGTCACAATCTCACTTTAATCAATACTTGCGATGATTATTTTCATAATCTATTCAAGACCAATTAAATGAAGACTTTCCTCTGACGAGACCAACTGTTTCACTCCTCAATGATGCAGCGAATACCGCAAGTCAGTAAATATTTTCCATGTTAGGTCACGGTATTGATACCCGGGAATTAAATTGTTGACGATAACTGGGAACTAACAGCCAAATGACAAATGGCGGAATTACAACTCCCCAGGAACGAGGACTTTGTCTAACTTAAATGATCCACTGAGACTCCGACCACAGGTACCTTGAGACTCCGGCCACAGGTACCTTGAGACTCCGGCCACAGGTACCTTGAGACTCCGGCCACAGGTACCTTAAGACTCCGGCCACAGGTACCCTGAGAGTCCGGCCACAGGTACCTTGAGAGTCCGGCCACAGGTACCTTGAGAGTCCGGCCACAGGTACCTTGAGAGTCCGGCCACAGGTACCTTGAGAGTCCGGCCACAGGTACCTTGAGACTCCGGCCACAGGTACCTTGAGACTCCGGCCACAGGTACCTTGAGACTCCGGCCACAGGTACCAACACAGAATCAAAACAGAGCACCAGAAAAAAAAGAACTGTGAACCCTGCGATACAATGAATGTGGAGAGTGTAAACACAGGAGGCAACAGGAGGCAACAGGAGGCAACAGGAGGCAACGTGCAGATTTCAACACCAAAAGAAATGCATAAACATTCAAAATATTATTAAATATCCCTTCAAAACTATACAAATTGTCCACCCAGATCACCTTAACGATTCACTAGATGGGAAAAATGTTATGACAGAGGAGGTCCAATGTATAATATCAAGGGAACCTGGAGAATACTATCTTACGACCAACGGAACTATGGTGGGAACGGCCACAGGCTTATACACCAAAAAGATTTTTTTTTTTTAGTAAGAGGATGAGAATTGATAAAAATGCCAATGCTCTACCACCAACTAGTTCCAATTACACCTACACATTCGACCTCTCGTCCCACCCACACCCACTCATACGACCTCTCGTCCCACCCACACCCACACATACGACCTCCCGTCCCACCCACAGCCACACCCATATCACTCACTGCCTACATCCCACCACCCAGCGCCAGATAGGGAACATCTCACATGCGGACGCCAAACAAACTTATGGCTGACTTGAAACATTAATGCTGCCGTCTCTGCGAGGTCACAGTTTATGGCTGGCATTGACCAGAGTTGCCGGAGTCCCCCCACAACAGCTCTCTCAATCAGTAAACACTCCAGTCGTTACTAATAATGAGAATATTGACTCTTAAATGACCATTAAGCGACAGCTTTAAGATACTGGAGAAGTTCGCAGAGTCTATTCGTCACAGTTTATGACGGGTGAGGGCTGGGTGTCCACGACGGGTGAGGGCTGGGTGTCCCCGACGGGTGAGGGCTGGATATCCACGAGGGGTGAGGGCTGGGTGTCCCCGACGGGTGAGGACAGCCAGCCAACACCACTCATCTCAGGATTATCAGACAATTAACGTGTCGTCAATCACGCCACATATCCCGCCGGTGCAAAGGTCGGGCATTGCGATAAGGTTGGCGCGACACCTGGGCGCATCATCGTGATATTAGTACAGTGACAACTTAATCTCACCGCACCCCGCGCTCCTGGAAGCAAAACAGAAAAACACAATGATTTACCCAAGCTGCTGATTAGAGGGTATAATTCATAACTTGCATACAAGTGCCAAATGAACTAAGCATATTAGGAATTCATATCTTGTGACGTTGAGCGGCCTTACAAGCAGCCGGCGAGCATAATAATCGCGTGAAATCTCTCTGTGAAAGTGCAGATGTCAGCAGTCATGTGTGTGTGTGACTCATTCACACGGGTGTAATCAGCTGACCAATCAACACCTGGCCGCCTCCTCCACCACGGTACACAGCTACTCGATCCCCTCACAGTATGAGTTGCTGTTGTCTCTCTCTCTTGTCCAACCATTTGGGCTGGACGGTAGGGCGACGGTCTCGTTTCATGCAGGACGGCGTTCAATCCCCCGACCGTCCAAGTGGTTGGGTGCCATTCCTTATCCCCCGCACGTCCTATCCCAAATCCTTATCCTGATCCCTTTCCAAGTGGTATATATAGTCGCAATGGCTTGGTGCTTTCTCCTCCCTCTCTTTCTCTTATACCAACACTTGATATACTCTCACTGAAGGGTGTCTTATGGAGAATGGTCGCTTAAGTAAGATCACGTCAAACTTTTATTATATTTTTCAACGTATTTTGTTGGCCATGAAATGAGGAATATGATTCAAAAGACCCTGAACAGGTAATTTAACAAATATATTAATGAGATGGAACTACGATTATTCGCGGAAATGGGCTAGTATTATGGAGGTCACCTGTAATATCTCTATTTTTCTCTCGCACCTTATGATTACCACTCTCACTACACCTCTTCATAACCACCACTGTCATTACAACTCTCCATAACCACCACTGTCATTACAACTCTCCATAACCACCACTGTCATTACAACTCTCCATAACCACCACTCTCACTACACCTCTCCATAACCACCACTCTCACTACACCTCTCCATAACCACCACTCTCACTATAACTCTCCATAACCACCACTCACTACAACACCCAACCCCCCCTCCCCCCTTCCCCCGGTGTACACAAACAACATCACCAAGACTCTCCAGCTTACCAGTGACGCCTCGACAACAACTAGATAACGAAGGCGCTTTGCGGCTCACTGGACGAACCTTGAGTCAGGTAGAACACGCGCATGTGCTTCCTGCTTCACCCAAGACATTTGTAATCTGAAGAAATCATTTTAGTTGATATGTTTCTAATGACTGCATTGCACATGCCAGAGTAGCAGCTTGCACTCTGCTTGTCCTGTTTCCTAAATCGAGGTTGGATGGAACAACAGATATTGAACACGAATGTTATCGTTGGCATCACTTAACATTTAGTGCAATACTACAAGCTGCTTCAGACACTGATTCTTGACCAGCTCTTTAAACAAATAAAATGCACTTAAAGAGCCACAAAACATCACCATTTGGTGTAAGCTGTTCAGTGGCTAGATAAATGCTTTAATTGCTCAGATTGTGTTGTGTTTGTCAAGTCTAATTTTAGCATTCAAGACATATTTATAATATTTCCTTATATAAACATGCACAACCTGTTCTGTGTTGACCTGCACCCAAGATAGTGAAGATAACTGGCAATAGATTACAGCGTTAAGCAACTCACAGTGTTGAAGCGTAATAGCAACATCTGAACAGTAAAGTGCATTTGCAAGAGCTTAGGAACGCACCCTGCTGTCAACAGCTGACTCAGCAAGCACTCTGATGGTGCGGGGTCAAGACACAACACACCCCCGTCCCCGCGCCGTCTCATCCTGCTTGCAACATCACTCAACGTGCAGCGTGAAACACAACCTAAAAATACTATGAATTCTGTAGCATAGTTAACAGCCTCAACTTACATTCAAAGGCACTGGATTCAATCCCCGGTCAGGAAAAATGCGTGCCTGAGAGTTTGGCACGTGGGTCAGGGGCACGTGGGTCAGGGGCACGTGGGTCAGGGGCACGCGGGTCAGGGGCACGTGGGTCAGGGGCACGTGGGTCAGGGGCACGTGGGTCAGGGGCACGTGGGTCAGGGGCACGTGGGTCAGGGGCACGTGGGTCAGGGGCACGTGGGTCAGGGGCACGTGGGTCAGGGGCACGCGGGTCAGGGGCACGCGGGTCAGGGGCACGCGGGTCAGGGGTACGCGGGTCAGGGGTACGCGGGTCAGGGGCACGCGGGTCAGGGGCACGCGGGTCAGGGGCACGCGGGTCAGGGGCACGCGGGTCAGGGGCACGTGGGTCAGGGGCACGTGGGTCAGGGGCACGCGGGTCAGGGGCACGTGGGTCAGGGGCACGTGGGTCAGGGGCACGTGGGTCAGGGGCACGTGGGTCAGGGGCACGCGGGTCAGGGGCACGCGGGTCAGGGGCACGTGGGTCAGGGGCACGTGGGTCAGGGGCACGCGGGTCAGGGGCACGTGGGTCAGGGGCACGTGGGTCAGGGGCACGCGGGTCAGGGGCATGTAGGTCAGAGCCACGTGCCTCAAGAACAAATTAGATAAGTTCTTGCAAGAAGTGCTGGACCAACCAGGCTGTAGTGGACACATGGGCCATCGTCAATAGTCACCAATTCGTATACTTAGATTTTAGATAGTAGTATACTAACTAGTAATGAATTTTATTAAAATAAATGAAGCTAAAAAAACTAACAAACATTGCTAGACCTAGTATTAGGCCTAGGAAGGTTAGGTTAGGTTAGGTTAGTTTGTCTTTGCTCACAAGTAAACAATTATTTTCCGGTTTGTCTAACTCAATATTGCCAAGTTATACTTTCTAATTTCGTCGGTAGATATATACTATGGTCCTCATCGGTACTATAAGTACTCCCAAACAAAATTTTTCTAACAAAAATGTAATATCTTACACCGAGTGACACATTTATTCTCCCGGTCGGGTAGGAGAGACGCAGGTCATATATTGATACATTAGCGTCCGCGATAGTCCTCAATAGAAAATGGGTTTAATGTTGTCCGTGACAGAAAATGGGTTAATGTTGTCCGTGACAGAAAATGGGTTAATGATGTCCGTGATAGAAAATGGGTTAATGTTGTCTGTCATTGAAAATGGGTTAATGATGTCCTCGATAGAAAATGGTTAACGTTGTCTGTGATAGAAAATGGGTTAATGTTGTCCGTGATAGAAAATGGGTTTAATGTTGTTCGTGATAGAAAATGGGTTAATGTTGTCCGTGATAGAAAATGGGTTAATGATGTCCGTGATAGAAAACGGATTTATGGTTCACAACCCAGTGTCTGTCCATAGGATACCTGATCAACTGAGCTGTGACCCCTACGTCAGGCTGCGAGCAGGTGCGTCTGCTTTCCATATCACCAACCAGGAGGTCTAGTCAGAGACCGGGCCGAGGGAACATTGATCCCTGCATCCTGCACAAGGTTCACATCCCCCCTTCCCCCCCCCCCCAGCCATAACCGTTTAATTATAAACACAAATATCAACCAACGAACCCCAAAAATCAACCTAACCCAACCATAGCCTAACTCTACACACAACCATATTATTGACTTTTTTACAATGCGACAAAAATGGTATATTTAAAACGCAAATAAAAACGTTTTTCCGTACTAGGATGCAACTTGGTGATGTTGACCAGACCAAACGGTGAAGGGACGACGACGTTTCGGTCCGTCCTGGACCATTCTAGTATTCCGTACATAAACGTAAATGGTCCAGGAAAAACGTCGTCGTATACTTTAGAGTCTGCGCAGAGTTAGGCCTAGGCTAGGATACGTATCTTGATTTTGTTTTCAACAAAAATATCCTCGTGAGCATTTCTAAACAAATGAATCACTTTCCGATAAAATTTGCAACGCAATCAGCGTTAAGTACCGTGTAAAGTTATTTTTATTAATAAACAAAACGTGGCCGCTAGATTGAAGAGTTTTGGCCAAAAGTTTTAAGATCAGGAGAGACTCCCATACGTCAGCCTGTCCTCACCATAATATCGTAAAGTGCTTCCAGCGACCAGCCGCTCTCCTGATTTAGTAATGAAAAGTTACACGTGACTCAATGAGCACGTTCGAAAATGTTATCGAAAAATGCTTCATTCACCTCCCAATTTCGGAGTATACTTTTCAAAATGCATCTCCAACAGATTTAAATTCTTAATTTCTCAACGGACTCCAAGCAACTGGTCTAGGTCTACGGACAATATTATATTATGTTGGACAAAATAGTAACATGGGGCTCTGGAGACTTCAGGAACCTTGGGTGATGATGGATGTATACACGTGGGCCTCACACACACACACACACACACACACACACACACACACACACACACACACACACACACACACACACACACACACACACACACACACACACACACACACACATCCACATTTGGAATCACCAAAGAACCAGAGCTCAACCCCCGCAAGCACAAATAGGTGAGTACACACACACAAACTGGAGGAATGATCTAGAAAATGGCTACTAAAGTTCAACCCAAGAAAGTGTAAAGTAATGAAATTAGGTGAAGGGAACAGGAGGCTGAACTCAAGGTACCATCTGGGAGGTGAAGTCCTGCAAGAGTCAAATAGAGAGAAAGATCTGGGGGTTGATATCACACCGAACCTGTCACCAGAGGCCCACATCAAAAGGATACCATCAGAGGCATATGCTAGATTGGCCAACATAAGAACTGCCTTTAGAAACTTGTGTAAAGAATTGTTCAGGACCTTGTATACCACTTACGTCAGCCCAATCCTGGAGTATGCAGCTCCTGCCCGGAGTTCATATCTAGTTAAACACAAGACAAAGTTAGAGAAGATTCAGAGGTATGCCACCAGACTAGTCCCAGAACTGAGAGGTATGAGCTTCGAGGAAAGGCTACTGGAGCTACTCCTCACGTCCCTGGAAGACAGAAGAGTAAGGGGAGACATGATCACCACCTTCAAAATTCTCAGGGGAATTAACAGGATGGACAAAGACAAACAATTTAACATGGATGGAACACGAACAAGGGGACACAGGTGGAAACTTAGTACCCAAATGAACCACAGAGACATTAGAAAGAACTTTTTCAGTGTCAGAGTAGTTAACAGGTGGAATGCATTAGGCAGTGATGTGGTGGAGGCTGACTCCATACACAGTTTCAAATGTAGATATGATAGAGCCCAGTAGGCTCAGGAATCAGTACACCAGTTGATTGACAGTTGAGAGGCGGGACCAAAGAGCCAAAGCTCAACCCCCGCAAGCACAATTAGGTGAGTACCACGCGTACTCGCGGCTGAGTGGACAGCGCTCTGGGTCGTAATCCTAGGGGCCAAGGTTCGATCCCCGGCAGAGGCAGAAACAAATGATCAAATTTATTTCAACCTGATGACCCTGTTCACCTAGCAGTAAATAGGTACCTGGGAGTTAGACACCTATACGGGCTAATCCTGTGTGTGTGTGTGTGTATCATAGAGATAAATATATGCAGTAGATATAACAGAAGGAAAATAATAGAAAGGCGGGGTCCAAGAGCTATAGCTCGATTCTGCAGAAAATAGATGCACGGGTGGGACGCGAACAAGGGGGCAATGGAGACAGAGTACCCACATGAGCCACAGGGACGTTAGAAAGAACTTTTTCATTGGTTAACAGGTGGGGGGGCAGTGATATGGTGGAGGGACTCCATACACAGAGTTAAATGAGATATGATAAGAGCTCAAGGCTCAGCCAGTTGGTTGACAGTTGAGAGCCGGGACCAAAGAGCCAAAGCTGCACAATTAGGTGAGTAGACTTCAAAAACATAATTGCCAACAGAACCTAAATACCTAACCTAGGCGGTAATGAACTGTAATATATAATAATATTGACTTATCATAAGCCTATTTTAGTACACAGTATATTAAAATTGATGAATGCGTATTGGGGGGGACGGAGGCCACTTTAACGAGCCTAGCCTGAGAACAGGTTGCTGACCCAGTCGGTAATGGTTCTCAGTTATCACCTCTCCTCAAACAAAGAGCCCAAATTCACTCCGTTCAAATTGTATTTCCGAAGACTGACGAGAACATCTAAGCCTCGACCCGCCGAGGAAGAGGTCTGGGTGTTTCGAGGAATTACCCCATTACAACTGGCCGGACTCCCCGCCAGCCAGATATTACCAGACGCGCCACTGGCCAGCCTCTACTCTCACTTGATGCACTTAAGGTTCGAGTCCTTCAAGTTCCGTTGGGTGAACTGCTGTACAGATGTAGCCTGGGACACCATTCAAGCTTCACACTTAGTTTATGAGACTGTGGGAGTGATCCCAGCATGTTCAGTGGATCGATGGTCCCAGACTCCAGGGGTACTGGGTGCGTGTTGGTCTCGCCACCTTCCAATACTCACGGTGCTCTCCTTAATAGGATGGCCATAGTACTGAGCGGCCACCATAACGGTACAGGTTCTGCACCTTGAGGGGTCATTGTGTTTACTCTTGAACATGTGCAGCTCGAGGACCATTCAAACTCATATACAATCTCTCTCTGTCTCACTCTCTCTCTGTCTCTCTCTCTCTCTCTCTCTCCACCTATCTCCGGAGGCACATAAATATAAATACATACGGTAAACAGCATATGACAGGCTGGCAAATATAGCACAACCTGTCCTCAGGAAAGAGGTACCCTGGAGGTAATCACTTCAAGACAGCTATATAATTAGTGTTAGTATTGAATCCGAATAAATAATTAGGTTAGCTTATGTCAAGTTTTGTTATGTTTGGTTACATTGATACAGTATATTATTCTCAAACGTGAAATATGAAATTCAAAACAATTTTAGTATCCCCTAAATTTTAATATACAGAACACCAAATTTTTCAGATCGTTTCAAAGAAAACGAGTTAAACAAATATTTTGTATATATTTTAAATCAACAATTTATAAGACAATGAAGATATAACTTGATAATATTCTCAGTTTAGGACAAAGGTTCACTTGCCAGTTTACTAGAAGACTTATTGGAACCGTAATATAATTTCACACCATCGCAAATATGTAGACAACTATGCAGATGGTATGAGGGAGGGGGGGGGGGTCTCGTTCTAATTACTTTACCCTGAGTACAGACTCATATCGGGACAACTCTCTGGAGCCAAGAACATGAAGCGCTTCAAAAACTATCTTGAGATGAATTTTTGAGATGGGGCTATAGTGTCCCCGCGGCCCGGTACTCGACCAGGCCTCCACCCCCCAGGAAGCAGCCCGTGACAGCTGACTAACTCCCAGGTACCTATTTACTGCTAGGTAACAGGAGCATCAGGCTGAAAGAAACTCTGCCCATCGTTTCTCGCCGGCGCCCGGGTTCAAACCCGGGACCACAGGAACACGCGTCCAGTGTTCTGTCCGCTCAGCCACCGGCTACCTAGCTAGTCACAACCTACGTCTAACCTTTGTTGGAGTACACGGGAAACCATGCAAACCACACCCCAAGAAGAATAAAAATGAATATTTAGATATCTCAGGAGGTT